AAGAAAAAGTATAACGCTGTTTAGCAATTTATTAATGCTACCCAGGAATGCAAATTCAGCATCTAAAGACTTTCCATTTGACAGACAACATTTACTGTCACCCACTATCAACTTTCAATGGCAATATCTATGGCAACTGATCATACACCATAATACTTGTCAGGACAGGAAAAAAAAGATGTGATAATTTAGAATTTCCCTAGAATAAAAACATACCATTTGATGTCACTGATATGGTTGCCCTTAAGTTAAAAAGCTCTTCCTAATTTTTAAATCATGTATATGGTATCTATGTATCTGTTATACATGTATATTTTGTGTAGTCTGTGTAATGTGGGTGATACAGACTGATAAAAATTAGGATGCAGGCCCAGTGACCAAAAATATAAATCACTCACTAGAAAGCTGCCATAACTGACACAGAAGAATAACAAAAATGTATATGACAAGACTTAGACGGAAACCGTGCAGTCCAGATAGGGCAAGTTAACCTAAATGCATTTGTGTATGGTGGGCAGCCCATGGCTACGTAGTATCAGCGCTGTGATCGACTTGTTAAAGTGTTACTAAACCCACAACAGTAAAATCAGTCTGTATATGCAGTAAAGTACGCTGGTTATACTCACTGTGCAACCTAAGGGGTTAGTCCTTTGCGTTGTGTAAAAATGCTGTTTGATCCTGACTTCTCTGATCCTCCCTTTCTTCCAGTGTCCCCCCTTTATCTTCTGATAAGACATATCATGTGGCTTTACTTTGCACATGCTCAGTTTGGTGTGAATTGAAAGAGGGTTTTTTTTCTTGGGAGAGTGCATGTGATCAGCACAAGGCCAATCAGCATTGTCCAGACAGAGGTCAGTGGTTCTGCATCCTCCTAGAGCAAAAAGAAAACTCCTCCTACAAGCTTTAACCAGTGCTGGACTGGACACTGATAGAAGCCACAAGACTGCTCTAACTGCTGACGAGAAAAGGTATTTAGCAGTTTATATTTACTAAAATAATTGTTCTTCCATGTCCTTTGTACCATGGGAGACCAGATATAGTGAATGCAGGGTCCTGAATTCAGTTAAACTTTAAGGTCAGCATTAATGCCAGTGTCTTCCTTATCAAAATAAAACACGGTGAAATAAGAGGAGTACAAATATTTTAAAAAGATCACAGCTGAAGCCTGGAAATTACGACACTGAATCTAAGGCTGGCCCATAGGTGTACCACTAAGAATAGCGTGTGGGGAGAAATCTGCCTGTTTGCAGAAGCAGCAGCAGGGCTATGTAATCGTTTTCTCCCCCAAGGCATTCTCAAGCATCACACTGGACCATTTAAGGCCAGCCTACGCTTATGCTTGGCTATGCTTAAAATATGCCATCACTAAGAAAAGTTAGAATACATGGAAAAAAATTAATTCTGACAGCACTTTTTTTTTTTCCCACAATTTATTCTACAGTACCTGTGGACACACATCTGTAAATGCAGAAGAATGTTAAAACCTGAACTCCAAGCAAATAGCTAAATACAGAAAAAAAAAAAAGACATAGCAGGGAACGGTGTTACCTGCCGAAGGCATTTTAAACTTTAGAGATGAATTTCAGACATGGTATATATTTTTTACATAGTTATAAGAAGAGGAGGTGGGGTGGTGACATCACACTCTCCACCCTGCCCAAACAGAGAATGCTTTTCATTCATTCAGAAAATACAAAGCATTTTCCGATTTCTAATCCTGTTCCGGATGGTTACATGATCCAGCAACTGTGGCTGCCCTGTATAAGGAGAGTGCTTGACAACCGCTGTGAATTCCTGAAGCCGTAACATCACCCATTGGCTGCTATTGCCCCTCTATTGTCAGCGCTCCCTCCGCCGTCCTGCCGCAGTTGCTATCTGGCACCTGGGAACAGGAGCTGCAGGATTATGTGACAGGACCAGACAGGAAAACACTCAGCTTTTTTTTTTTTATACAGGTTAGGCAACATAGATAGGAGTAGGGGGAGGCAGGATTTTTAGGAATAACTGTAATTAGCCTTGTTTTCCATTCTAATGTAGGCCATAGACAGGGAGAAAAACGGCCGTTTTGTTTTAGAAAAACGAAAAAATCGGTCGTTCAATCAGCCGACATTACCACCATTGGTACAAAAAAGTCGGCTGATTTTCGTCCCGTCTACGGCCGGCAATTAATATAATAGCGGTGTCCCTGCAGAGAGCTCCGCTATATTTGACATTTAAAAGAAGAAATAGAATATGAATAATAAGAAGAAAAAGTTGCAACATTTTATCTATTTGTATCGATTTCGAATACAGATGTTTCTATTAGGATACAAATAGATGCAATGTTGCAACCCTTATACTTTTAAATGTCAAATATCATAGCGGAGCTCTCTGCAGGGACACCGCTAATAGATTTGACATTTCGAAGTATTGCGATTGCAACATGTATGGATACAAATAGATCCAGATGTTCGTCTTCTTTTTCTTTGGTCACAGCTCATGCGCATATTTTTTAATCGGGAAAAAGATCGTCCGATGTGCCCATCATTGCCGTGAAAATCGGACGATGTGCAAAATCGGCCGTTTTTTTCCCCAACATGAACGATTAAAAAAATGTGTCAAAATCAAGAAAACCGGCCAACCAATTCAGCCACTAACGATCCGAAAATCCGCATTTTTTTTGGACGAATTTTCGGCCGGTTTTCTCCCCGTCTATGGCCTGCATAAGGGTGCACTCACACTTGGGTCAGCTAAACTGAACTGCACCCAAGCTCATTTCAGCGTTACCTATAACTCTGTTTCCTCCTCTCCTCTCCCTCTTTCTGTAGGGGTCCCTCAAGGTTCTGTCCTTGGACCCTACTCTTCTCCATCTACACCTCCTCCCTTGGTCACTTGATAAACTCCCATGGCTTTAAGTACCATCTCTATGCTGATGACACACAAATCTATCTTCCTACTCCTCACCTCACCCCTTCAGTCTCCTCTCGCATTACTAACCTACTAAGTGACATATCGGCATGGATGTCACTCCATTTCCTCAAACTCCATCTTTCAAAAACTGAGCTCAAAGTGTTCCCTCCAGCCCCTGCCCCCTCCCCTGACTTCTCCATCAAGATCAATAATACAACCATCAGTCCCCCCCCCCCTCATGCCAGGGTACAAGGTGTAATCCTAGACTCCCATCTGTCCTTTTAGCCCCAAATCCAATCACTGTCCAAATCTTGTAGACTTCACCTCCACAATATCTCCAAAATACACCCTTTCCTAACCTCTGAAATCACTAAGCAACTTATTCACTCCCTTGTTATCTCTCTCCTTGACTATTGTAACTCCCTCCTCATTGGCCTACCTCATCGCAGGCTATCCCCTCTTCAGTCTATCATGAATGCTGCTGCCAGACTCATCCACCTTACCAACCGTTCCATATCTGCCACCCCTCTCTACCAAGCCCTCTATTGGCTTCCCATTGCCCAACGAATAAAATTCAAAACATTAACAATAACATATAAAGCCATTTACACTGCACCAAATTACATCACCAATCTTGTCTCCAAATATCAACCAAACCGTACTTCCTGCTCTCTACCTCCCTTCTAGTCCCTTGTCTCCTCCTCCCATGCTCACTCCAGGACTTCTCCAGAGCTTCCCTCGTCCTCTGGAACTCTCTACCCCAATTTATCATACTATCGCCTACTCTGCTCACTTTTAGGCAATCTCTGAAAACCTCTCTCTTCAGGGAAGCCTATCCTGCCCTCAGCTAATAAAGGAATCTTCTATTCCTCCTATCAGTTCATCCCCCACAGTTATTACCTTTTGTACCACCAGCCCCACCCTCTTAGACTGTAAGCTCCAAGGAGCAGGGCCTTCCTGACCCTCTTGTATTGAACTGTATTGTTGCTGTATTGTCTCCCTTTATTATTGTAAAGCGCTGAGCAAACTAAATCCTGTATATAAAATAATTTGTCCCTCCTCCCCATTCCCCCACTGGTCTGACTCACAAGAACTATTAAGAAAGTGTTCCCGGGAACACTGCTCTGCTAACCAGACCAGTGATCCCTATTTTACTACACCGTCTTCTATGATGCTCATCACAGTTGCACTCGCACTGCAGCAAACCATAAACGGATCATAAGTAACCAGTCCAGGGTGCAGTTCAGAGCACTCACACTACACAAACTGACCAAAGGGGCTGAACAGCGCCCGGGACCAGGTCAGAGTGCTAGTGCACCCTAAATGTTAGATATAGCCTAAGGGTTTAGCTTAATATTGGTGTTCAGAAAACATTTTCACTGTTTTGGTTCTACAGCTCTAAAATCCACTTTGACGTCATTTTGCTTTAATTACTACTACTAGTGACAGTGACAACCTACACAGCTGTGAAAAAAATGTATGCAATAAGAAAGTGATGTGAAACTTATGACTTGTTTTAGCATCTTACATTTTCTCTGTTCCCTTTAACGCCTCAGAAACTCAATAAAAATGACACCTGCTTCTTCAGCAAAGAATCCCCTAAAACCACCAAAACATGCTTACACAAAGAGGACATGAATTACCATCATAGTGCCGCTTAATACAGAATTAATAATGAGGGGGAAAACAGCATTGTAAACATTAATTTAATACATTGGCTGAAGTGCTTTAATCCAGTGCTGAAGAAGAAAGAAAATCCTGCTTTCCTCACATTACAATGTAGGTTTGGTTTAGGTCATATAGTCATGGGTAAATTGTCACCATATTATATATGATGTTCTGTACAGTGGTCTTTGAACTCTGTGTGATAACACCCAGTTCACCCAAGCTTGTTTCGAGGCAAATCAAGTCAAATCAAAACATTGTCTTGATACAAGGATATCAATCTATACAGAGTTCTATGCAGTGTCTCAGATACAGCAGGCTAAGCAGGACAATATAAAGACATTTCCTGACCACTACAAAGAGGCAACATGCAGGCATGGAGTATAATATTGTGCAGTAGGTTAAAAGTTAAGAGTGCATTTTTGGCAATCTCCTAATGTACTCACGGCATTAGGCTGAGCTTGGTCCCAGCTTTGACTCCTTCTCTTTTCTGAACATAGTTGGCTGGTATGAATCCAACTCGCCCCACCTTATTTTTTGCTTTGTACCAATTTGGATCCTGTAAAAATGAAAGGCATTTCTTAAATATGTAGCTTCTCAACAGCACAACTTTGCTAAATAAACTGCACACATAATTTTTTGCAACTGACCATTTTACATAAATTACAATTGTAGTCTCAGGGGTGTAGACATTTTTGAAAAAACTAATTGTCCAGGGACTAAATCGGTGTCCCAATCTACTAGTACCTCATGACAATCTACTTGTCCTGCTAAAAATACATTTTAACCAAAACTGTATTTAAATCTGCTTTAAGTAATGTCGAAGGCTTTTAAAAACAAACCTAGGGGCTTTATGGAGACTTAAACAGCTCAATGTTAAAAATATCAAAAAACTACACTCCCTCGGCCTCAGAGATTCTGCTCTCTCCTGGCTCTCATCCTACCTATCACAATGCTCTTTCAGCGTTACCTATAATGCTACCACCTCCCCCTCACTCCCCCTCTCTGTTGGGGTCCCTGAAGGCTCCGTCCTCGGGCCCCTTCTCTTCTCCATCTACACCTCCTCCCTTGGCCAACTCATACACTCTCACGGCTTCAACTACCACCTCTATGCCGACGCCACACAAATCTATCTCTCAACCCCCCACCTCACCCCCTCAGTCTCCGCCCAAATCACACACCTACTGAGCGACATATCAGACTGGATGTCGCTCCACTTCCTTAAACTGAACCTCTCCAAAACAGAGTTTCTTGTCTTCCCCCCAGCCTGGACACCACCCCCATTGACTTCTCCATCATGTCCAACAACGCCACCATCAAACCCGCCCCGCAGGCCAGAGTACTTGGTGTCATTCTGGACTCCAACCTATCCTTCCAGCCCCAAGTCCAATCTTTAACAAACTCGTGCAGACTCCACCTCCGCAATATCGCCAAAATCCGCACGTTCCTAACCCAGAAACCACTAAACAGCTCATCCACTCCCTCATCATATCATGACTCGACTACTGCAACTCCCTCCTCACTGGCCTGCCTCGCCGCTGGCTATCCCCGCTTCAGTCCATCCTGAATACGGCTGCCAGACTCATTCACCTTTCCAACCGCTCCATCTCCGCCACCCCCCTCTGCCAATCCCTCCACTGGCTTCCGATTGCGCAACGGATCAAATTCAAAATCCTAACACTGACATACAAAGCTGTCCACCACACTGCCCCGAACTACATCACTGACCTAATATCCAAGTACCGCCCAGCATGCACACTCCGCTCCTCACAAGACTCCTCTCTAGTTCCCTGGTCTCCTCCCCCATGCTCGCCTCCAGGACTTCTCCAGGGTGTCACCCATCCTCTGGAACTCCCTGCCCCAACCCATCAGATTATCACCTACTCTCCTCTCCTTTAGGCGCACCCTGAAAACCCATCTCTTCAGGGAAGCCTACCCCACCCCCTGCTAACTTGCCGACCTCCTCCACTCTTCCTACCACTCCATCCCCCACAGCTATCTCCTCCTGTGCCACCATCCCCTCCCTCCGAGATTGTAAACTCGAAACAGCAGGGCCCTCGATCGCCTCATGTTTTACATTGTATTGTTATTGTTCTGTCACATGTTCTGTCCCCCTTTGTAATGTACAGCGCTGAGCGAACCATTGGCACTTTATAAATACTGTATAATAATATTAAACGTTTATCTCCTCCTCCCCTCCCTGCCAGTCTCCAGCATCGCACTCGGGGAATAGCAGGGAGGAGAGAGACCTTAAACAGTAGTGAGCACCGATTGGCTGCTAGACAGGAAAGGGGAGTGTCGGACTTATCCTTCATCCCTTTCGCTGCCAGAGCTGTTTTTGCGTTATTTGCACACGTTTAAAAAATCGTTTTAGGCCTGAAGATGACAGAAACTCCCCAAACATGATATATTTTGTGACAGCAGAGATCCTAGAGAATAAAATAGCGGTAGTTCCAATTGTGTATGTCACACTATATTATCACAAAAAATAAATTTCAGTAAAAAAATACACTTAAGTGAATTTTAGGGTAACAAAAAGCAATAAATTATCCAATTTGTTGTAAAATATAAGAGAGTAAATAGATATCCAACACTCGTGAAACAGCAACAAACTTTAGTACTCTATATTTTCTATAGGTGACACTTTTAAAGCCCCCTTATAGGTTATCAGTATAGTGTACGGAGGAGGTCTGATGCTAGAATTATTGCTCTCATTCTGGCATGCACGGCGATATGTAACGTGCATTGCAATCGTCGTTTTCATTTGTAGGCGCCCGAGTATGTGCTTTTACGTCTGTGCATGCGTAAATATGTGGGGATAGGAGGCCTTGAAAAATTTGGAGATGTTATATGCTTGGGTGTAACTCCCATTTTAAAAAAAAAAACAACTTTTTTTTTTTAAAATCACATACGGGACAAAAAGTGCACTATGTGATGATTTTTGGTAACAGGTTCTGCAAGTCTCCCCTGTACTACACTGAATATAATGCGGTGCACATCACACTGCATTACATTCTTTCCCAGCCTCAATGACCTGGAATCTGTCGACCACGGACCCGGAAGTGACGTCACATCATGTCCGGATGAGGAAAAGAAGGGGAGGGGAGCAGATGTGTCCGCTCTCCTCCTCCCTCCCCTATACCACATCCTGCGGCACCCAACAAACCAGACTCGGGCCCACATATTGGCAAGTGGAGCCTGGGACATATAGAGGGAGAGGCTGACACTGTGGGCTGTGTGGGAGCAATCTGGCAGCAGCACTGCTGCCCGATTGCTTCCACCTGACAGGTGAGCTCTGCTGCTTGCTTAGCAGGGCTAAGGGCAAAAAAAAAAAAAAAACTACCTTCCCGGCGTCAGGAACTACATGTCCTGGGCGTCGGGCATTAGGAATTAGACATCCCCGAGTCTTAAACAAAATCGCTTTATATCACAAAAATAACTTGGTAACATACTGCAAGAAAGACACCACACTATCTCAGACATCACAACTGCGGGAAACTTAAAATAGAACTATAGGAAAAACTTTTTTTTCCCATTTTGGATAGAGCAAAGGAGGGTTATAATCACGGTCAGATTTTTTTTTTTTCCACCATCTGTGTCCCATTGAGAAGATTTCCCTTCAGTTCCTGTCTGTCTAATAGCCAACCAGGAAGTGAGAGGAAATTCCTGCAAATTAAGGGAATTCCTTGGGGACCCCCAAGTCACCAGAACTAGTGTCCCTAATGGAAGATATCCCCTCTATTACTTTTATGGGGACAACCCAAAATCTGGGATTTTCTTTTACTTTCACTGTCAATAATAATGGTAAATAGGACAAACTAAGAGGGTAAATCTCCCCAAAAGGGGGCACAGACAGCAATAAACTGATCAAACATTCTAATCCACCCATACTCTATACAAAACTAAAAAAAAAAAAAAAACACTAAAAAATAAAAAAAAGTTTTCTTTGGTTACACTTTAAAAATTATCCCTTGGCACCACTGCACTTGTGGTGCCATTAACTACTAATGGAACCCCAAATGCGCCCAGCATGGTAAAAACCACACCAAGCTCTATACCTGAAAAAGGTGCAGGAGTTTATTTAGCACATTTTACCCATGTATGGTAGCCCTTTCAAATGAATGGCTATGTATATTTCCCGGAAAATTAAAGTAAAGACATGTCTGTAGCAAATGCTACATGTGAATTCACCCTTACACACGCAAGCACAGCCTTACATTTTCTGGTGTTGGGCTTTAGTTATACATGGAAAAAAAAAAATCTAGGAGTCTACTAGATATGGTATCACAGATATCATGTATGTTTTAGTTTTTGAGGTCATGTAAAAATTACGTACACCCCATGGACACTGTTTACATTTTTCAACATATTTGAACAGGCAAACACTGGATCTTTATTCAAACAGAATTAAGTGATATATTTGAATAAAAACACAGGATATATTTTAAGTTTTTTTTTAAAACACAAATATACAATGATGCACTATACTCGAATTGCCTCAGAAGCCCCTTTTAACAGAAATTCGTTTTGAAAAACTGTCCACCACTCTGACGTCTCTAATCATTCCTCTATGCAAAATTCCTTGCAAGAGGTTTCTTTGGTTTCCTTGCGTGAACTGCCCATTTCAGTTCCTTCAACAATATTTTAGTAGGATTCAAATCAAAGCTTTGGCTAGGCTAGTCTAGAACACTATTCATTTTTAAGCCTGGTGGATTTGCTAGTGTTCTTTAACCTCATCCCGCCCGGGCTATTGTCGAATCGCAGCCGGCAAAATTCCTCACCTTTCTGGGTGGACGCCCGAGGTACAGTTCGCGCCGCTGCGCAGCTCTGCAGGCGCGCAAAATGCGCATGCCCGAAAGGACGCCATATGGCGTCCACCTGGAAAGGTGAGAGTTTTTGCCGGCTGCCATTCGGCCATAGGCCGGGCAGGAAGAGGTTAAAAAATTTTTTTTTTTTTTTTACATACGTTCATATGGAACTTTGATTTTCTGTTACAGTTATGATTGCTGTAACAGCAATATTTTGCACTGTTATGAAAGGATTATATTCATGATAGCTGTGATTACTAGTGATCTGTGATTGGCTACAGCTAATCACAGGGTACAGGATGCTGTGCTTGGCCCAGGTATCATGTGATAGCTGTGGGTCAATCACATTATCACTGTAGGAAACACAGCTGTTATGCATGAAATCATTCATAACAGCTTTGGTGACATTGTGATCATGTGATACAGAAAAGCCACAATGTGGAAACAGCAGTCATGGGATCGGCGCGCCAGTGCACATGTGCTAAGCGACATACAGGTAAAGTCACTTAGCCTGTAGCTGCTGCCCGCAGTATATGTCAGCAACTGGTAAATCAGAGCAATGTTGTTTTTGATTCTAGATGCATGCACTTTGACACAAACTATTGCAAAGGATATCTACATATCCTGCGATTAAATTTTGAGATTCCTGGAGACTTGTTTTAGCATCAAACTGTCAGCTCTTAGACTGAATTTTTTGCATCAGCCAGCCCTGGATAAATTATCTGTTTGAAATCTGTCACATATAGATTGATTTAAAATCAGTAATTACGAAACTATTTTCCAATCTTTTTAAATCCCTATCAGATTCCACAGGGCATCCACAACCTTCCTTTTGAGAGGGCCCTGAAAAGCTCTTTAAAACTTGGCATTAGGCACCACAAACGTCAAATAACAAAAAACAGCAGATCATAGATATCGAACAGTTAACTAGGACTGCATACTCTAGTATGAGAGGTTGTAATTACTGGTATCTAATCTGCAACACCAGATTCTAATTTCCTTGATCTGAAGTGGTGGCAAACGTGGGAGTGTACTTATTTTTTTCCAGATGACTAATCTGTCATTATTTGAATTAGGAGATCTAAGATAACGAGAACACATACACCATGTTAATTTTATGTGCAATTTGTTCAAGTATATGACCTTTATCTGTAGTCACTGTCTGAACGTATATGTTTGCTTATTCTAATGTGTTTTAAGTGATTTAAAAAAGTCATTGCACCAAACCCAAGGAGGACTGAAATCAAAACCAGTCTACAATTAGGGTGGATAAAAATCGATAATTAAAAAAAAAAAAAGTCCGCACACTTTTTCCCCTTCCTGTCCAGGCCAATTTTCAGCTTTCAGTGCTATCACACTTTGAATGACAATTACGTGGTCATGCAACTCTGTACCCATATGAATTTTTTTTTTAGACAGATGAACCTTTATTTTAGTGGTATTTATTCACCACTGGGATTTTTTTTTTTTACTATATAAATGAAAAAGTCCAACAATTTTGAAAAAATTTTCTTATAAAACTTTTACAAATAAATAATATTTTCTTCATAAATCTTGGCCAAAATGTATTCAGTTATCTTTTAGTAAATAAAAAATAACCCAAATTAGTTTATAATCAAAAATTATAATTTTTCTAAAAAAAAGTTTACATTTTTATTTTATTTTTTTATATTTTCTCTATTTTTAACATACTGTCACCGTAGCAGTAAAGTGTCACCATGGTGACTCCGTACTACTTATGTGGGGTGATGAAGAATTTTTTTTTTTTTTACACTGATTGCTTTTACACTCAAAGGCTGTAAAAGCAATACATTTCTCCTTCGCTCTGACTGCATTCTTGCAGCCATTGAGAAATACTGCAAGAGATGAGATTGGTCACAGCTTGTCACATGGTACAAGGCTGTTGTGAATAGCATTGTACCATGTGACCTCTGTGATCATTCACAGATTTCACTAGTAGTAAGCAATGATGTCAGGAAGTGACATCTTGCTTACTACTGTTCACGTGATCACTGATTGGCCAATCAATGATCAAATGAATCGGGACCTCACACAGAGGTCCCGTACAGCGATCGGTGTTCCCAGGGAGCAAGCACAGGGTGTAAATGTGGGCGCCATTTATAAAACGGCAACCCGCTCCTGCACTGCTCCCATCTGGCCGTTTATGTACATGGGTCGGACTGGAAGTGGTTACATTTAAATCAGAATTTTTTTTTTATTTTTATCAAATTTATTTTAATAAAATGCTTTTGAAGTAAAAATCTATCTAAAGATAGTTTTCTATTTAAGATACATTAATTATTTAGTTTATTCAGCATGACATGGAGCTTAGTTATGTAGCATGAGGCTGTATATTCTGCAATATTTATATTTTTTGGAAACTGATTCAATGAATCCAAGCTCTGCAAACTAAATAACCTGCACTGCATTGATGCAGTCACACAATTCCACCGTAATCATGAGAAAAAACATGAAAAAAAAGAATTTAAGTCGTTCTCCAGCTATGTGTGATTAACCTAATAAAAAACTCGGTTCTGATATCGTTGTTTTACTAACCTGACAGCTTATTGTTCTAAAAAGAAAACCTACATTTGGTTTGCAAATATTAAAGATTCTAGCTACCAGCAAGAATGAGTCGGATTCCTTACATTTAAAGGGCACCTGTCATTTTAGATCCATCATGGCAGCGCCTGTTAGCGGGCATCCACTCAACTGCTGCCGCCATGTCCCTCACCTTGTTGTGTCACTGTCACATCACCAGCCATCCCATTAAAGTGAATGGGACTGTCAGTGAGTCAACAGTGGGTCAGAAGAGGAGCCGCTGCGGGACAGAGATGATAGTTGCTCTTTAAAAAGTATCAGGGATGCTCGATTCCTATCGTCTGACGCCCAGGACATGTAGTTCTGGGCGCCGGGCAGGTAGTTTTTTTTTTTACCTTTAGCCCTGCTGCGGGCAAGCAGCAGGGCTCACCTGATAGGTGGAAGTATTCAGGCAGCAGCGCTTCCACCGATTGCTTCCACACAGCCCACAGTGCCAGCCTCTCCCCGCGATGTGCATTACATTACATTCAGTGTAGCACAGGGGAGAAAAGTAGGGTCTTATAGACCCTGGATGCCTCAAAAAGAGAACCTGTCACCAAAAATCATCACATAGGGGACAAAGTACAGAAAAAGGTGGTTATCTCCACTGTCAGACAGGATTGTGCTGGGTGGCAGACCTGAGTAAATCTCATGAGTGGACAGAAATACAAACCCTTTGGTACATACAATAGTTTCAGTGCATTTCATCTGTGCATTTAGAAATTCGCCTGGTGTTTAGCTTTAAACCGAATGCATGGAGGCAGATCTTTCATCAAACATACTGCAGAGAGATCGGTTTCCACTAACTTTAAGGGGCCATGACACCAAACATCAATACAGGCGATTCACTTAATTGGTGCTATTTTACTGTAAGGATTATCTACAGATTTTCAAGCAAGCAGGAAAATGTGCCCAACTGTCACAAGGACTACTGCTGTGCATGAGCTTTTGTTAATCCTCACATTATAGCTAGCCATGCATGAGATAATTGCGCTGCTATTGAAAATCTCTTGGAGTACAGTTGGAGTACAGTCTAGGAAGGCTCAGTGACTTTTTGTTCCTTCTTTTTACATCTATTCACCTTGGTCACAGCAACAATGGTCAAGAATTCTCCTTTAGTAAATGGAAGATCTTGGTCCGTTTTCCCATCAAAGTCGTAGTTAGCAACACATTCTGCACCAAGCTGCCAGGGTGTCTATTATGCATAAAGAGAATACAACAGAAGATTATAAACATTACAAAACATTGCAAGTACCTAGAGATCCACAAAAAGCTTTTCTTATTGTACATCCCAGACATGTGAGCAAGAGACAGGGAGGATACCATTAAGGAATTTTCCTTCACTTGAAACACAAAAGGGAAATTACTGAAAATCACTACAAAGTGAGAGGAAAATTCGACTCAAGTTGACACTATAACAAAATGTCTACATTTCCCCTGACTTCCTGCTCTGGTAACAAAAGTAAAATTGTGGATTTCTCATCACTTTCTGTAACAGACTAAGGTCACCAAGACAAGAGGAAGAACCTCCACAGAAAGGACACATTCAGAAAACATAACACGAGTTCTCACCTCTCATGCAAATAATTGACAGCACCACAACCTCCATTCATAAATCATATTTCAGTCATAGAAGCTGTAGTATGGCTTCTATGAATGGAAGGGCTGAATGGAGGGGCTGGGCTGAAAAGGTGGGCATATTTGGGCTGTTTTGATGGGAGCCTGTGACAGCTCCTTAGTTCAGTTAACCCCCGCTGCACCAGAAGATTTCGGTGGTAGGGTGGGCACATGAACAGAGGAAGATTTTTACTAACAGCAGAGGAATAAGCAGAAGGGACATGACCTACTGACTGTAAGTTATGTCCCTTGCACTGATTTTTCTGTGTTTTTTTAGCTATGCTTTAGGTTTTCAAGTAAGATAATATTGTGCTATACCTTCAAATGTTGCATAATAAAAAAATTTGATTTTCATGTGAATCTCATATCTTAACATACCAAAGAGCATCACCATCCAAAACTTAAACATATACAATTAATGCACCACTAAATATAGGACCTTTATATCGTTTACACAGACTTTACACTGGCACATATTAGTGGTGCAATATTTGTATATATTTATGATGGCGATGCACTTTTGCGTGTTCATTTATGAGATTCACATGAAAGTCACGTTCTTTGATTTCATGTACATTTAAAAGGCATAGCTCAAGACTATTTCACTTGAAACCACAAATCTTGTATTTAGATCATTTTGAGTGCAGCTTTCCTTTGATTTTGAATATTGTTATTTCTGAATTCTATGTTTATGCACTAAGCGCAGAGTTTCTCACTTTTCAGTTGTGTACACTTAGTCTTTAGCATAAGATTTCTTCAAACTATAGTGAAAACCTTAAAAATACAAAAACTGAACATATGAGAAAAATTACATAATAAAAATTATGAAAAAAATACATAATAAAAATACATAAAAAATTACATAAGCAGGTGTTATTTTCAGTGAAAGCCGCATGCCAAAATGTTCAATAAATTGCAATCTCAGCTTTCCCTTTAAATGTCAAACTTCATCCCACCTTCCTGCTTCTCTACTGCAATTTGCTACCTCTAGTAGCAATTCACCAAATTTCTATAATTCAATTAAAAACTAAAGACAAAGAACATGTACAACGCACATAAAAAGCCTGTGTGCTTGCATTTGAGATTGGTTTGAGACACTTCAGAGGTTAGTCACCAACCAGAGTATTTGATAAGCAGACAAGTTATTTATTATTTGCATTTATATCGCACCCACAATTATAGCTGCACTTTACATATTGTACATTTACATCAGTCTCTGGCCTCAAGGATCTTTAAGGTTCCTTACCTCACTTACATATATAGATGTGCACACATACCAGGACCGATTTAGACAGAAGCTAATTAGCCTAGTTCCCTTTGACCTGCATTTGACCTCCTAAGCTGCAATAAAAAATTGCAAGCTGCTTTTTATATTCCATTGACTTGTATGGGGAGAGATGTAGTCTCATGCATACAGAAATCCATAAAGAAAACTGCTGCAAAAATAACTTAAAATATGTAAATACTTTATATATGCAATACATTTCCTTTATTGAGGCAAGCCAAACCATACAGATAACAAGTCCAGAGCCGGGACAAGGGGGGAGTGCGTAAGGGAGGGGGAACACAGGACAAATGCTGACTCTCAGTGCAGGCAATGTGTCTTGCTTTAACCTGGACAGATTACTGCTGCACAGTACAATAGAATACAGTGCAGCGGTGTGCAGAGTGCGCCTGGCACAAGTTTAGAATGAACACACTAGCTTCCCTGTCAGGCGGAGGGATCTCCACCCAACAGATGCCATCTACTCCTGGCCCAGCATGACGTCATTGACATACCAGGGGGCGGGATGGTAGAGGAGAATGGAGTGCTGGCGGTGCCAGGAGGCAGGATGGGAGAGGAGAACAGAGTGCTGCCCGCTGCAAGGAGGTGAGATGGGAGAGGAGAACAGAGTGCTGCCGCTGCAAGGAGGTGAGATGGGAGAGGAGAACAGAGTGCTGCCAGTGCTGTGTGGGAACAGAGTACAAGTGAGCAATAACATAAGGCACTGGGCTAGATCCTTCTAATATCCTGTCCTCATCGACGTTGCAATGTTGTGTGTCAGTGTGGACTGGCTGGAGAGAATAACTCTTTAGGGGAGGGTTAATTACCAATGCTGTTAATTCTATGCAGCTTAAAGGGGTTAATGTAATGCCACTGGTCACTGATGCATTAGTGACCAGTTGCAGTTAATTACCCTTTGCGCTGCATTGGTGGCGCAAGTGTTAATTAACTCCTTTATACTGTAGCATGAAGTTGTTAATTAGCAGACACTGGTGCCACTTATGCAGTTCAAATGAGCTACTTAGCACTGCCACTGCCCACCAATGGGCATTTATGCTGAAATATTAAAGATTAGATCAGCTCATGGGGGGGTGGTCACAGATCGGGGGGCATAGTCACAGATGGGGTGCTGTTTTTAATGGAGTGCTAAGAAGCAGTTGAACACAACAGTCTAATCATGGCTTCCCTGCTTTTCACAGGTAAATTCCTGCTGTCTGCTCTCTCCACTCTAAATTGCAACTTCAACAACGCATAGACCCCTGCTATCTGTGGGTAAATTGCTGCTGTCTACTCTCTCCACTCTAAACTGCAACTTCAATAATGCATTGACTCCTGCTATCTCTGAACAAATAGTGTATATATTTTTGTCTGTGTTCATTGATTCTCACCTCTTGTTGCACTCTTTTTATGACTGTGGCCTGTGTCTGGTCTGTCTTTGAGAAACATCCCCATCAATTCATGTGATCCTTATCAGTTCCTAATTGGGGCGGAGAAGAGTGCTCATTTGACCATCTCCCTATAAATTTAGATCAGCTCAGTGGGGGGTGGTTACATATTGGAGGGAGCATAGTCACAGATGGGGTGCTGTTTTTGATGGAGTGTTAAGAAGCAGTCTAACACAGCAGTTTAACTAAAGCAGGATAACTCAAGCAGCAGGAAGATACAAGAAACTCTACTGCATGCTGGATAGACTGCAAGCAAACACCCTGGGAAACATCTGTTACAAGTCTGAAATAATTTCAAAAACAAGATTGATGCAATTCGTAGGGGCATCGCCACTGCACAGACATCCATCCCACTTAACATACCTTATACTAAACATCCCTCAACACTTTCCTCTTTTGACCTTACTACTACCGAAGAGGTCACCAAGGGTTTCTCAGAAGCCCGTCTCACTACCTGCTCCCTGGATCCTGTCCCCTCACAACTACTACGGTCACCCTCTTCTTCCATCCTATGCTCCCTCACTCACATCTCAAATCTCTCCCTCTCTAACGGTGTCTTCCCCTCCCCTCTAAAGCATGCACACATCACTCCCATACTTAAAAAGTCCTCCCTGGACCCCACCAACCTGAACAACTTAAGACCCATCTCCCTGCTGCCATTTACCTCTAAACTCCTAGAACGCTTAGTCTACAATTGCCTGAGCTCCCACCTCACTGACAACAACCTTCTTGACCCTTTACAGCCTGGCGTTCGCTCACTACACTCCACTGAAACTGCACTACTAAAACTCACTAATGATCTACTAACTGCTAAAACCAATGGCCACTACTCCGTACTCTTACTACTTGACCTCTCTGCGGCTTTTGAATTGGTTGACCATCCCCTCCTCCTCAAAAAACTCCTCTCTCTTGGCCTCAGAGACTCTGCTCTCTTCGGGTTCTCCTACTACCTATCGCAGCGCTCCTTTAACAATACCTATAACGCTGCCTCCTCCTCTTCACTCCCTCTTTCTGTAGGGGTCCCTCAAGGTTCTGTCCTTGGACCCCTTCTCTTCTCCATCTACACCTCCTCTCTTGGTCACTTGATAAACTCCCACGGCTTTAAGTACCATCTCTATGCTGATGACACACAAATCTATCTTTCTACTCCTCACCCCTGTCTCCTCTTGCATTACTAACCTACTAAGCGACATATCGGCAAGAATGTCACTCCACTTTCTCAAACTCAATCTTTCCAAAACTGAGCTCTTAGTATTCTCCCCAGCCCATGGCCCCCTCCTCTGACTTCTCCATCAAGATCAATAACACAATCATCAGTCCCTCCCCTCATGCCAGGGTACAAGGTATAATCCTAGACTCCCATCTGTCCTTTCAGTCCTAAATCCAATCACTGTCCAAATCTTGTAGACTTCACCTCCGCAACATCTCCAAGATACGGCCGTTCCTAACCTCGGAAACCACTAAGCAACCTATTCACTCCCTTGTTATATCTCGCCTTGACTATTGTAACTCCCTCCTCATTGGACTACCTCATCGCAGGCTATCCCCTCTTCAGTCTATCATGAATGCTGCTGCCAGACTCATCCACCTTACTAACCGTTCTGTATCTGCCATCCCTTTCTGCCAATCCCTCCACTGGCTTCCCGTTGCCCAACGGATAAAATTCAAAAACATTAACAATAACGTATAAAGCCATTTATAACTCTGCCCCAAATTACATCACCAATCTTGTCTCTAAATATCACCCAAACCGTACTCTCCGCTCCTCGCAAGACCTCCTACTCTCTAGCTCCCTTGTCTCCTCCTCCCATGCTCGTCTCCAGGACTTCTCCAGAACTCCCATCCTCTGGAACTCTCTACCCCAATTTA